CTCGTGGAGCTTTGCACTGACTCACTCTTCCTGTTCATTTTCCACGTGAAATACACAAAATGCTAATTTTTCTGCGGGGCCTGCGGTGTTAAATTGCCTGTGCTCATTGAAAGCCAAGCCATGGGTGGATTTGTCACAGGGCTTGGCAGTCCTGGAGAAGTTTTGGAGCAACAGCAGCTCCTGACATGGACAAGTCCGACCGGGGAGGGGCAGATTTGGTTGCAGGAGTTTTGTCTGGGAGAACTGAGCCCTCCATGTATTGTGTGTGTATATTTATAAATATATATTGTGTGTGTAGATTTTTATATATATATATATTGTGTGTGTATATTTATTTATATATATAGTGTGTATATATTTATATATGTGTGTGTGTCTTTATATTTATGTATGTTTTGCAGCTGTTGGACCCACAAAAGGTGACTTGGGCCAAAGCTGCTCAGAGTAGCTGGAAATAGTGTTACAATGGGCCTGCTCACATCCCTTGGAGCACTTTAAACTCAGAGGAGAAAAAAAAAACAACCAAAAAACCACACCAAAATCGAAAAGAGAGGGGAGAACAACTGTAACCTGGTAACCATAAGAGCTGTGGGAGGAGAAACAAACACAGGATGATTGTATATATTTAAATAAGTGTAGAAAAGGAAAGGGCAGAATTTCCTGTATGGCTTGGCTCCCTGGAGAGGCTCTGAGAGCCTGGTGGCAGCTGAGGTTGGCAAGGATGGGTCAGGAGGCAGGGCCAGGCTCGGGTGGGACTCTGTGGCAGGGAGGGGAGGACGTGGCACTGTCCTTGGTGTCCTGGGGCAGCCTGGCTCCAAGAACCCTCTGGAGGAGCATCCCATCCCTTGAGAGCAATCTGGACACCATCACCCCACATTTGGGAGGCTCCTGCCTCACCAGTGCCTGTTTGTTGCCCAAAAGGCTGCGTTCTGCTCTGACAGCAGATTGTGTCGCTGCCAACAGCGAGAGGAAGGTCATTCCCCGTGTCTGATTGTTATTCCACCCTTTCTTCAGCCAGGGCTGGTCCTTTTCCATCCCATGGGAGGGGACAGGAGGCCCAGCAGCAGCTGGCTGTGGTGTTGTGCTGTGTGCTGGGTACCAGAGCTCGAGGAAAAGCGCCTTTGCCTGGGGTGGGGGTGGGGGGGATGTTGATATTGGACACGGGGTACTTGCTTTCCTGGCTGCACATCCAGACTCCCTGGCCATCCTCCTGGGGAAAGGATGGAGTTAGAACAGATGGCTACCAGCAGGACCTCGTGCTTCTGGCTTTTTACAGCTTGGAGTGGGAGAGGAGGGGTTTGGACTGTAAGTCAGGCAAGAACTTGCCCCAGAAGTGGGTTCATTTGTTCTGTTTGCACGCCCCGACCCTCAGAAGGAGGGGAGAGGAAGAGCATTTCTGGGAGGGCCTTCAGTAAGGGGTGTCACTGAGAGCTTTGGAGCTCCTGATGGTGCCTGGCAGGTGTGGGCAGTTACCTCCTGTGGGTACCAGAACAGTTTGGAATGTGTGATGACCCTGGGTGGTTTGGGGTTGGGTTGTGGTGGGAAGCAGGAAGATGCTCTGCGGCTTTTGTGGCGTGCAGGAAAGGAGAAGAGGAACTTGGGCTTTGTCCTTCCTCTTCCTTGACATGTGCAGTCCAAAATAATAACAACAATAGTCCTAAAGTACATTAGAACAAGCTGCCAGCCTTGGGGACTTTCCTCTGAGGCAAAGCTGCCTCTTGGGTGGTGCTGTGTTTGCCAAAGCGGGGTGGTGGCTGCTCTGCCTGCAGCTTGGTGGGAGGAGAGAGCCAGTGGGATCCCAGTTCCACGGGAGGAGAGATCCAGTGGGATCCCAGTTCCCGTGTTCCCAAGAGGCTGAGCAGTGGGGTGTCTCCTCCCTGCGTGCTGGGGAGTTGGCCAAGCTGGGGGAGAGACGGTGTCGTGGCGAGAAAAGTGGGAAAGAGTGGTGAGGTTCCCATATGCTGATCAGAGCGTGCTTTTTTAGTGGAGGAAGGAAGGAAAGGGGTGATAAAAATAAAGCTGCAGTTCTGTATTTAGCTATAAACGACTTCAGGATTTTTTATTTATTTATTTATTTATTTTAAATTTCAGTAGTATTTGAAGACTGTGCAATAAGTGAGCTTGTTCATGAATTTTTTATTTTATACCGCTACAGCGTTGGAGAAGTAGCCAGGTTGCTGGGGCGTTTCTGGAGCTCAGGGTTACCCTGTGTTTGGGTGGTTGTAAATCCCCTGTGCTGATGTCAGGAGACCCGTGTGAGGTGCAGGAGCACTTTTGCAAAGACTCTGATGTGCAGCATATCTCAGAGCCACAGTGGAAGTGATAAAGACATCTTAAATAAGGGAATGCAGCATTTGTCTTAGCCAAGCTTCACCCAGAATGAACAAATGTGCCAAAATTTTAAAATTCTGAATGATTTTGTATGCGAGAATAAGTGAAAGTACATTAAAAATGTGGCTGCTGCTGCTGCCAATGGGAGAAGAAACTCAGATGCAGATAGCAGAGACTTGTGTTTCCAGAGATACCAATAGAATTGGATTTTACTACAGTTTCTAAATGCTAATAAAGGACAGTGGTAAATATTTGCTTCGTTTCTTGAATCTGACACGGGGTCTGAGGCCAAGAGAGATGAGTTCATTGATCTGGAAAAGAATCACGTGGAGTTTAAAAGAAAAAAAAAAAACCACACCCAGGAGTGTTTGGTATCCCAGGGGGTGGCTGGGGAGAGCTGTGGGCATCCACAGCTCCCTGTGGGTGCAGGATGACGTGGACCTGCCTGCCTGGACACCCAGTGGGAGCTGTGGAGTGTCAGGCAGGGTGGAAAGGTGCCCTTTCCACATGGCAGTCAGTGTGTCCGTGGCTGTGCAGGAAAGGAAACAACCTGCTCCTCTGAGCAGGCACTTCAGAATCAAATGGAGATCACTGGGTGTGACAACCTCCTTCAGACACAATTATAATTGCCCACATTTGGAGTCAGGCCCCTGGCTCCCCACTTAAAAGTCTGATTTTAATAAGAGGGAGGATGATTTTTAAAATCTACTTTTTCTCCCCCTGAAATTCCAGTTTTAGGATGCTGCCCTGGCCTCAGGGCAATAAGAAACCACGGCTGGGCTAGAATTTCGTGGAGGTGGCCTAGAAACAGTGTGCTTCTGGCCTAATTTATCACAGCTAAAACTCCAAGAGGAAAGACTTAATTGTGGCTTCTGTCTGTGTGTGCCTAATGTCAGATCCTCCTTTGCAAATGTGAGCTGGAGATAGTCAGCAGACTTTGGTGTTTATATCACTTAATCCAGAGGGAGTGCTTGAGCTGACAGGGGCTTGGCTTGATTTATCTTAGAGCCCAAGTTTTGGATCAATGAATAGCATGGAATAACCTCCCTGATGCCCCAGGCCCTGCACAGATGCATCAGTCAGCACAGAGCCTTGGCTGCAGCAAAAAGGAGCTGAAAGGCTCTGGGGGGACGGAATGAAGTGGCAAATAACATCAGTGAGAATCATCTGAAGCGCTGAGAGCGAGCTGGGTTTTGCCTTGTGGGGCCGCGTTCAGCAGAAATTTTTGCATGCTGATTGCTCTTCCGGAAACCCAGCTGAGCAGGGCTTTGGAATCTGGTCAGCTGGGAGCTTGGTTTGCAGGGCTTGGAGTTGTTGGAGGGAGAAGATGATGTGAGGAGCCTCAGATGCCATCCCTGCAACCCAGCAGCGAGCCCCTCCACGGCTGCTCAGCTCAGCATCCGGCTGGCAGGAGCTGTGCTGCCTTGGGAGGCAAAGCTGTGGGAATTTGGTTGGAATGGGTTGGGAAAGGTTTGGCTGAGACCCTTGGAAACGGAACAGGCAGGAGCTGGGGCCTTGCAGCTCTTTTGCTGCCTCACACCCCGAAATTCCATGTGGTGGGCAGAGAACCAGCTCACTGCAGAGGCACCACATCTCCTCTTCCCAAGCAATCCCCGAGCTCCCCACTTTCCACAGAGGGGCTGGGAATTTGATGTTCCTGTCGTGGCGTGGATGAATTTCACCCATGAGGCCAGGGCAGAAAGGATCAGGAGCTGTGATCCTGCCCTGTGTGACTGTGCTCTGGCTTCACAGCACTGAGTGGCTTTGTCACCTTGGGATTCTGTGAAGGGGAATTTCAGCTGAACCCCAACCTGCTGTAATTCCTGACTCAAACCGACACGGGCAGAACTGTTGTCCCCGTGTTCTGGTTGGTAGAGGGGGTTTGAAACAGGAGACCAAAGAAAGCCTTTAACCCCCTGAAATGACAGACTGAGAGCTGATTGAGGTCCATCACCTTTGTGTGTGCCAGGCAGAGCTGTCTCTGAGCCACCACCTTGGGGTCTCTCCCAGCGATCCCCCATCCCTGGAGTGGAGGCACGGGTAGCCGAGGGATGGGTGACAGATTCTCCTGGCCACGGCACTTGGCAGCTGGACAGACAACTGACTCATCAGTGTTCGTGGTTTCTCATTTAATCCTGGGGTTGTTGGGATGATTTAAGTGCCAGCAGTCCAGGGAGGAGGTTGTGCTTCTGCTTCCAGCAGGGCTGTGGAGCCATCGCCTCGTCCGCCTCCCATCCCTACTTTTCGTCGCGGGGGGAGGCTGGGGGTGGATCCGGGCTCGGCTGGCAGCTGTAGATTATCTTGCCAGCAGGCGGTTGGGCTGTTCCATTGGCTCCTCTTGCTCTCCGTCGCTCGCCTGCCGAGCAGCAAATGTCCTGTGCCCGGTGCTGCCCCGCGGGGCGCTCCGCGGGACCGCGCTCCGCGCCCTGCCCGCCCCGCCGGCCCCCGGGCTGAGCCCCGACCCCCCAATGCCCCCGGGGGGAGCGCTCTGCAGGGGGGGCACGGCCGCCTGCCCCGCAATGTAATCGTGGCCGGCGGTGCGGGACGCGGTGCGGGAGGCGCAGGGCCGGCCCCGGAGGAGGTGCCGGGGCGGGCGGCGGGGGCGGGCAGGGCAGGGCAGGGCTACCCCCTCGCCCCCCCACCTACCGCTACCCCCTTGTCTCCCGCAGGCTCTCGTCGCCCGGCGGCTGCGGCGGCGGGGACGGCGGCGGGAGCCGCAAGAGCGGGGTCATTCTGGACATCGCCGCCCTGAAGATGACGGAGCTGGAGTCCGAGGTGCTGCCCCTGCCGCCCCGGTACCGCTTCCGAGATCTGCTGCTGGGGGACCAGTCCTTCCAGAGCGACGACAGGTTCGGGGCGCGCAGCGCGGGGACGGAGCAGGAGGGAGGCACGGCCTGGGGACACGCACTGGCCCGGGGATGGGGACGGGGATAGGGACACATACCTGGGATGGGGGGACACACCTGGGGTGGGGACACTCAGCCGGGACCCCGCCTCGCTCCGGGGCGGCGGATCCGGAGCTGTCCGCGGTGCTGCTGACCCGGAGCTGTCCGCGGTGCTGCTGACCCGGAGCTGTCCGCGGTGCTGATGATCCGGAGCTGTCCGCGGTGCTGATGATCCGGAGCTGTCCGCGGTGCTGCTGCCGCGGGCACAGCCGGACCCCGCCCGGTGCGGAGCTCTCCGCGGTGCTGAGCGCGGGGCCGGGGCGGCCGCGCTGCGGGAGGGGAGGCTCTGGGGTTACGGGGGTATCTGGAGCCTGCGGGAGTTGGGAGATGGTGGCAGGAACATGCCCGGGAGAAGGGCACGGGGATGTGAAGGGGATGGAGGGCAGGGGTGCCTCGGAAACGTGTGGGTGCTCCAGGAGGGTGGGATGTGCTGGAGCTGCTGGGCAGTGGTGGTTGTGGGTGTGCTGGGCCAGCCGACGCTGAGCTGTGTGGGGATTCTGGGCAGGTCGTCCGGGAGTCCCGTAAGGGGTTGGCAAGGAGGAAAAGGGACCAGTGTCAGGGAGATGAATGGGCTGGAGCTGGTGAGGGGCTGGGGGAACTCTACCATGTGCAGAGTTTGGGCTGAGAACATCCATTTGTTCAGGAGGGGGGGCTCCTCCAGGCTGAATTTGCAGCAGGGGATGTTGATGGGAGCAGAGAAACTCTAAAGAGCTGCTGGGGTTGTGGTGCAACTCTCCCTTTCTTGGGCTGACCAGAGGAATGGTGTTAATGTGTCGAGCACCAAGACTGCTATTCCTGCCTGGCCAGCAGGTTGAGTGAACAACAGAAGGAATGCCATGAATGGCAGGTGAATTCCGTGGGCAGAGCAGTTAAATGGGGAGGGACAAGAACCTTCTTTCAAGTGTGTTCATATCACAAATACCCAGGAGCTGCAGTGCTGATGGAGAGTCAGAGAGATTGCTGTCTCTTCCCACCAATTAATTGTGTGATGCAAACAGAGAGAGGTGTAATTCTTGTTATAAAAAAGGCAAATTCATTTGTTTTTTTTGTTTATATGTGTCAGTGTCGTCCAAAAAAAAAAAAAAAAAAGAAAGTGGGGGGAAAAAAGTGATTTTGGCTTTGGAACATGAATGTGGGATTTACAAATGTTCTGTGTAAGTGTTCCTAACTTTTATAGCTGCATAAAATTGGCCTGTCTCGAAAACGAGTCTGTGATCCTGAAGGTTTTAAAGCCCGGATTTTCTTAAGAGGCACTTAAATATTAATACAGTTTTACGATATAAAGTGAGAGGTTGATATGAAATTCCTGCTGCAGAAAATGTCTGGATTTCAGGACGGTTATGCTACGGCTCATTTGGCTCTTTGAAGATTTAATAGTTTTCATTTAAGTGTTTGAAAGCATCTGTAATACAGAAGCTGGGAATTGCAGATTGTGTTCTTTCTGTGTTTCACTGGTTACACCCCTTAACCTTCATTTTCATCTAGATTTGTGTCTGATTCAGAGTCTCTCTTTAATTTCAATGTGAAGCTACTCTGGATTATTTTGTTAATTCATTAGCCTTGTTTCTCAAGAATTCATTACCCCTATTTCTTAAGGTATCTCCGTTTCAGTGGCTTCATGTGCTGCTTTCTTGAGTTGTTTGATTCCCCCTTTGCCTCGAAAATATTGATAATTTCACAGCGTGTTTGGGAATGCAAATCTGTGAGCCCCCATTTGCTGCTCACTGGAGTCCTCTTGGCTTCCCTGGGAGCTGAGATGGGCTGGAGATGGATTGGGAAATGTTGCAGTTAGGCCTGAGTTTCACTCCAAGTCATTAATAACACCTTTAATAACATTAAACAACATTATGGCTGAACCAAACTCACTGGAGCAATTCTGACCAGTGCATGAGCCTGTTCCAAACCAACTGGATCAGGAGCTGATTTAGGTCAGCAGAAAGAAAGGGGAAAAGCAGAAGGAAGGAGAAAAGCAGGAAGACTTTTTAGCTTTGCTGTGCTTGTAAATGATAAGCAGCTCAGAGATGGGCTTTGAAGTGCATTGTTACAGGGATGTGCTGGGGAAAATTCCCCCGTGGAAACACTGTGGGGAACTAGGAATGGTCAAACAGAGCTCATTGGACTCACAGATGTAACACTGAGGGGAAAACACCCAGAACACTAAATATCTCATTTATTTAGAAAAGCAGTGCCTAAAACATCGGTGTCTCAAATATCTGCTTTTGAAAACTACTCTGGAATGATAAAAGTGAGGAGGTTTCTGGGGTCAGCAGGACTAAAAGGTTGGGAGGCTGCAGGTTTTGCTGCTTCTGGAGAATGAAAAATGCTCTGTTAGAGATGAATTAGTGCCTCCTCATCAGAGAGGATGCTGAGGAGACCAACACTGGGCTGAGCTGAGGGAATGAGGTAATGCTGGAGCTTGAGGAGATGAGAGCTTGTTGGAACAAGCAGATAATTAGAGAGCTGTGGTATGGCAGGAGGAGGGAGCGTGTCCAGATAACCTCGGGAACTGAAAGAACTAATCAGTCAGTGTGAGGTGGAATGGGTAAAACAGGCTGCTCCTCATTTACTCCTGTTTTCAGAAGGGGAAAGATGAAGCCAGTCAGTCTAACCAGGCAGGGTTTGCTCTTTGGCAGGTGGGCTGAGTGACACGAGCGTTGAAATAACACTGGGAACGGTGTGTGGAGGATGCGGTAAATTGGCCAGGAAGCAAATAGGAAACGACCGACTGGAAGGGGAATGTGGGAGGTAAATGGATTTGTGGAACGGAGAGAGAGAAAAGCCTAATGACAAGCAAATCTAGAGTTGTCAAGCAGGGAAGTGCTCCTTCCAGTGCCATCT